TTGTAGAGAGCCCGGGGCCTTCGAACTCAACTGGACATTCACACTCACAGTGCTGACACCGCAGATGCATCTCACATCTCACCTCGACCTGGGTGTCATCTGGAATTTGGTAGTCGCTGGCTGGGAAATATATTACCAAAAACAACAAGCCTGAAGTCTGTGCACATAAACACAACCATTCCTAAGGCGACTGAAAGGAAGATGAATGAATGTGCTGGACTATTTAAAGGATTCTAAGCCTAAAGTCACTGCATTTATTTTTAAACAGTGTAATGCTTAGGAAAGAGCCTAACACTCTCTGGGAAATACTGGCCCTTTTCACCTACCAAGAATTCAAACATCTGCCAATTCTACTACACATCAGCTTCCTGAACACAAGAAGCTGTTGCTATGGTTGGATCAGAACGTCCCCTGAAGGCTGTGTGCAAAAGGCTTGGTCCTTGGCTTGGTCTTACTGGGAGGTGATGGGACCTCAAGTGGAGGGCCCTAGTGGGAGCCAAAAGTCATGACCTGGAAGGGGAGTGTGGGACCTCGTCTCTTCCTGTCTCTTGTGAATCCAGACCATGCTCGGCCTGTGCACCCTGCCGTGGTCTGTTGCCTTGTCACGGGCTCAGAAGTCACAGGGCTGACTCTGGTTGAAGCCCCCAAAACTATGAGCCCAAGCAAACTTCCTCTTCATAAACTGATCTTAAAAATTCTTTACAGTTATGGAAAGCTAAGGAAGCAGGTAAAACCACGTGTCCTCAAAAAGCACAGCCAAAGGTTCCTAGAGAGATGTTTTAGGTGCCATCCTCTTCAGACGTAGTGGATGCTTCTTCAACATAGCACTGCCCTAGCCACTTACCAAGAAGTCATCTGTGAAACGTGCTCGGGACCCTTTCAACTTGGATGATAAATATTCCATGCTTAGTTTATAAAATCCTTCTCTCCTGGCTCCTTATTCAGTTCAGATTTTCCAGTGAATTTTCCATTTCAGCCTATGTCAGGGTGCCGTTGGCTCTCCTTGGGAAATCACATCAAATAACATATTCACAGGATAGAACCAGAGCAATGCCAGTATGACAGGAGTGAATGACCACAGTTAGGGAGAGAGTATACCGGTCCATATCCATGAGTTACTCTGAGATAGCTTTGCTCTACCAGAAAGATATATCAGATATATAATATAGATATAGATATAGATATCTAGATGGTCTGTGTAAACATAGACTTTCTAGCTCTTAACTTGTGATAGACTTCTCTTTCTCTATGAAATTCACTGGACAAATCTCACATAATATTTTAAAAGGATACCCTTGATCTTTCCCATGTCAGAAATGTACATTCAGCTGGAACGAGACTGTTTTTTCCTTTCCAAAATTTTCCTGCTCAAATATAATCAAGGTCAAAGAACTAAACTCCACAAAGCACAAGTTCAGTGTCTACTGGGAAGACTCAAAGGAGTTTAAATCTGAATAAGCCTAAAGTAATACTACTGAGTGCCCCAACAACCAGAGTCAGGAAGATGTGAGGATCATTGAAGCCTGCACTAGGCACTACCACTCAAGACCACATCCTTCTGCCCTCTCCCTAAAGGAAGTCCAGAACCCACACTGGGCCACAGGGAAAGAGCCTGTCATGCAGTCTAGAAGAGAACCTGGGGTCAGCCTCCCCAGGCCATTTCCAGGCACCTGCCTGGTAACATGCAAGACGGCCTGGACCAGCTTCTGTGCAGGTCCCTGAGGTGAGCCCAGGTCCTCAGCTCCCTGCTCCCAGCCCCTTGTCCTCAATGACTTTAAGTAGCACATCCTCCACCCTGGGAGCCATCAGCCCTGGCCTCATGGGGACTGCCCAGGCGAAGGCCAGTCAGCAGACCGCTTATGATCTGTCTCTGTTGTCTGTTCAGTTCCTACAGCCACAGTGCCCTCCTTTAACCTGCCAGGTCCCAGGGTGTGAGCCAGAAACACACTGCATTCAGTTCCATGATGCTGCCAAAAGCAAAAATTGCATTTCTATACCCAACTGCGTCAGGAAATCAAAACACTTAGCGTACTAAAATACACCAAGCCTAGGAGGCTAGAAAGCTGAAATGTGAAAACTGGAAAAATGACTTCCACAGAGCCCTGCAGTGTAACTCCCAAAGATGACATGAGATGGCACCAACTCCTGCAATCACCACCATCTGGCGACCTCGAGAGCCACAGGGCTCCAGGAGGCCATTGCCCCTGGGTCAGGGCACAGAAAGAACAGCAGGGAGAGGAGCAATCAATCTGGGTGGACGCCCTCTGCATCTACAACAGGAGAAAACTCAGCCCTCGGGAGGTCTGGGGGGAGCAACAGCTGCCCACTTCCAGCCGCTCTGGGAGTCAGGGAAGGCGGCTGAGCCCCAGCCCTCAGCGGCTGTGCTGAGCTGCCAGAGGTCCTCGCAGCTCCGTGGGCTCCCTACTGAGGTCTGCGAACAGGTTCTCTACCTTCCTTCAGAGGCCTGGCGTGTGTTCTGTGGCAGGAGCCACATTTCCAGCTGCCACTTCTGAAACCCTGAAGAGGAGAGCCCACATTTCATGCAAGCGCCACGATGCAGGAGTCCACAGAAACGCTTGGTTGTAAGGAAAGCAACTACACTCTCCTTACTGGAGAAGAGCATCATTAGCTCGCTGGGGGGACGGTCTGTAATCACAAGAGTGAGGTAAGATTTTAAGGCTTAGCATATAAGCAGAGGGAGCCACACTCAGGTGGGATTAATATTGCTGAAAAGGGCACCAATTGCATTGTGGGAATTTGTTAGCAGCAAAATTGCATTGTGGGAATTTATTAGCAGCATATATGTGTGTTTTCAGCCCTTTCAAGAAATACACTCTAAATATTTCATGACTGGTTGGAATTTCTGTTTCCTCTCAAATAACTTTTAAAAAACAAAAACTATTCTGATTTTCTTTATGTTTACTATGAAACGTTTCCCATGACCTGTGGGTAAAGCTCAGTGGTAAAGAAAGTGCTTGCCCAGTGTGCACAAGGCCCTGGGTTCAGACCACAGCAACAAAGTTTGCTATTAATCTACAAAGGTGGCACATTATACAGTAATCACTGAAAAGTCTTCCAGGTGGGTGTGGGAGCTCATGGCTGTCATCCCAGCACACTGCAAAGCTGAGTAAGACAGGTCACAAGTTCAAATCCAGCCCGGACAACTTCATGGGTTAGTGAGACCCAATCAATCAATTAAATTAAATTAAACTAAGGGGCTGGGGACATGGCTCAGTGTGAAGGCCTGGGTCCAAAACCCAGTAGTAGAGAGAGAGAGAGAGAGAGAGAGAGAGAGAGAGAGAGAGAGAGAGAATCACCACAACAGCAGTACTTTCAAAGGCTCCAAGTGTTTGTGGAAAATCTGGGTTGCTTGACATACATTCTGAAATATTTTATTTCTGAGCTTTTGGAAAGCGAGACTCTAAGACAAAGGCGCTGCTGCATCTCCTCCCTGACAGCCATGCCAGGTGTGCACGAGCTCATGAAACAAGTGTTTGTAAAATCAAATGAAATCAAACTATTTTTAGCAATCCATAAGAATATAAAATCTGGTGTATTTACTGCATTGTAAAAAAATCTATGTCCCATCTACTTTACTCAAGATGTAATAGTCTACTATGTTAAAGAATACTCAATACTAGTCTTTTTTACTTTATATTTGGCTCCTAATTTAATTTAAATTTAAATTAGCCCCCTAGTATATTTAAAAATAAAAATAATGTATTTTTATGATGTGAATGAGCATATCCAAGCTGTTATATGCTAGATAGGCTATCAATATTTTTCAGCTATCAATATTTATCAGCTAAAATGTACTTGCAAACACATAACAGAAGCTTCCCGTTTATTTCCCCGGTGCGAGGCATCGCTGCGTAACGTGCTTCTCCTGTGTGGTACTGGGGACTAAAGTCAGACCCTGAGCTTGCTGCGCGAGCGCTCCCGTTGAGCTAGATGCCCAGCCCCTCTCGCCAAACTTTGACTTGAGACTTGGTTTGGTTGCGCAGGGCAGCCTTGAGCTTGTGACCTGCCTCAGGGTCCCGAGTAGCTGGACACAGGTGCCCACCACATCTGCCAGCGAGAACACACTTGTAAGAAATATTATCCCAGAGACAAAAATACTTGCACAGTGCATGACAGGCATAGACTGCTTTTGTAATTAATAACCAAAAAAAGATACCACTCTAATAACTGGTTATTTTATTGTTATAAAACTTTACATTTATAATGCATTCTGAAATAGTGGTTTTATTGTTACACATTTAAAAAAATTGATAGACGGCATATTGCTTATTCCAAGTATAAATGACAGCCAGGTACCTTGTGATGCTCTCCGTCCATGAATTATTGTAAAATTTCTGCATTATTAACCTTTGGTAGCACTGCTACAGTCAAAGAGAAGTCTCCCATTCAAAGTTCAAACAATGTTTGTAGAGCTAAAGACACTCCATTTAAAGGCAAAGAAGGTGATAGCTTAGTGTACAGCGCATGCTTAGCATGTCTGAGGCCCTGGGCTCACTCCCCACACACTGGCGCACGCGCACACACGTGCACACACACACGCACACACATTAAACGTAAAGACAGAAAACTCTGGCAGATTCTAAAATCTGATGCTAACTGAGTGGGGTCCATATTTCAGTGACTGTTATTATCTTCTAAGTGCAAGAAAGCAGTAGGTGGGTTTCCCCTCCCGGCATAGTAAGACCTGCTCTTTTGGTGCCTTAGTGTTTATTCTAACTAAGATCATTGGGAGTAGTGTAAACAATTTTGCCTTTTCTCAAAGGAGGTTTATTTTAAGTAGGAAATTCACTAAAAGGTTAACTGCCTTGTTAAATACAATCCTCAGTATAGTGTCAAAAATATAAAGCAGGGGCTGGGCAGCCACAGAGGCCCAGACAGTAAATATTTCACACTCTGCATATGGTCTCTGTCGCAGCTACCGAACTCTGCCTAGTGGCACGACAGCAGCTGTAGGAAATGCATAAATAAATGCACATGGCTGTGTTCCAGTAAAATTTTATTTATGGATGCCAAATCTAAATTTCGTGTTATTCTCTTGCTTATGTTGCAAAGCAGTATTCTTTTGGGTTTTTTGACTTCTCAAAGCCATTCTTGGCCTACCTTCCCACAGAGACTCTGGGCTGGCTTCACCTCATGGTCTTTTGTACCCCGACTCCTGCTGATTAGAACAATGAGAACCACCTTCCTTCAAGGCCACCATTGCCAGACTAATAAATGATACTAAGAACCAGGAAATTTTTTAAAATGTAAATTACGTAAGAAAATGACCAGCAAGGCACAGTGGAATCAAGTCCCTGGCAGGACACCCAGCTGCAGGCTCAAGGCTTGGCCACATCTGGGCACCCGAAACCACCAGCAGTGGCCGAGGAAGGCTTAGGCCCTGGCTCTGTGCCTTCATGACCCCGGTTTTATGAACCACTGACCCACCCAGCCTGACTATGGCTCTGAAGAACAAAAAGCCACCCATCCCTTGTGCTCGGCACCATTTCTGACTGCACACTGCCCAGCGTGGATGTCAGGTGCTGGTCTGCACAAAGGGCTGGAGTGTGCATGATCGGTCCCTGCAGCTAGCAGCCACGGGAATGGGCCTGGGCTGCAGGTTCACAATGTTAGCAGCCAAGGGTATCACTGTCATTCGAACCCACCAGCAGCTTATCCCAGCTGGGACGTTCTAAAGACATCCAAAGAACATTTGTGCCCCTGAGGAAATCTGGGCCTTCCTCACCAGACAGGAGACCAAAGAATAGAAACCTGCGCCTCATTACCAGTTAGTAAGGTGCTCTGCGTCATTAGCAGATGACCTGAGCGCCAAGGTCCCCACACTGCTCCGGAGCCGAGATACAGTGCAAACAGGTGTGTAAGTGACCTTTATACTTGTCCACCATTTGTCCACGTAAATAGCATCAGTCCGGGCAAACATCCCTACATCCCTGTGAAAAGCCAAGGACAGCATGCCGGTGCCCACCAGACTGGAAGGGTGCGCGGTTCCCAGGCGTGCAGCTTTCGGGGTGCGTGCGCTGTGGCGGGAGGATGCGCTGTGGCATGCACGTTGTCCTTCCCCACAGGGCTCCATCAAGTTGCAAAGGCGAAAATACTGACACCTGAGTTAAATACCAGCCACCGCCCCCCCACACACACACACACTACATCCCCCGGGTCACTGAGCTCAGATGCAGGGAAGCTCTTCTCTCAGGGCCGTGGGGGTTTCTTCCGCTCTGGAGCAGGCTGGGCGATCTAGAGCTCAGCCAGAAAGGTCGAGAAGACTTGGGATGAGGCCCACGGGAATGGGCCTGGGCTGCAGGTTCACGAGCCGGCGGCGTCCTCCCTTCCACTGCACTCCCCTCACGCCAGATCCACGACGCCCTGCAAGCAGTCCCTTCAAGTCCTGCCCGCAGCTGCTTCCAGCGGTGCCCCAAGCTCAGAGCGGGTCTATGGAGCTCACGTAGCGCAGCGTGTAGTTGGCGCCCGCGTTGTTGTCCCAGAACTCGCCCTGCGCGCAACGATAGCAGACCGCGAAATGGATGGCGACATCCGACGCGTGCCCGTCCTCGCCTTCCCTGGGCAGTAGGCCGGGGGGCAGGCATAGCGAGAAGCTGAAGCGCTCGGCCACCGGCTCCTCCTCCGCATCCCCCAGCCCGGCTCCCAAGGCCCCCGCAGCTGCTGATGGCTGCTCGGGCTGCAGCTCGGCGGCCACGTCCAGGAAGGTGCGCCACTCGGTGAAGGTGTAGCGCACCAACACGGCACTGGGGCCGGGGCAGCGCAGCACACGCCCGGAGCCCGCCACTTCCGCGCCCGCCGGCGCGGGGCACTGCACGCGCTCCAAGCACACGCGCTGTCGCCGCAGGCGCTCGGCCGCCGCGCTCTGCTCCGGGAGCTGGAAGAGCGGCCGCAGGCGGGGCCGCGGCGCGGGGAGGGGGGCGTGCACCGAGGACTGGGCCCACAGTTCCCCGAGCTGCTCCAGGTCCTCTGCACGCATGGGAAAGCTGTACAGGCGGGAGAGCACGGCAGGCGGCACGCGCGGCTCCTCGGCCTCGCTGAAGTGCTTCACGCTGGCCAGACTCAGTCCCAGCGAGTCAGCGAACTGCACCCGCTTCTTGCACTTGGCGCAGCAGTCGCCGGGGCGGAGCGACGCGTTTCCCGCTTGCTCCCTGCCCTGCGCGCCCGGTCGCTGCTGCAGGAGCTGCGCCGCCTGCAGGATGGGGTCGGCGGGCAGCGAGAAGGAGCGAGCGCGCGGGCGGCGGCCTTCCCGCGGGTCCTCCGCCTCCGCAGGGACGACCTCCTCCTCGGAGGACGGAGCCCGGAAAGGAGAACCGCCCTCCGCGGCCGGGAGCGCCTCGGCCTCCTCCGAGGACACGAGTCCCGTGCTCTCGGGGCTGTGCAGCTTCCTCCCGTGGGGCTCCATGGCACAATTCTCCCCCAGGCCTTGTCCTGCCGCTGGCGCGGGCTCCGGGCTCCCCGGGAGACTTGCGTCCTTGGGGAGGCAAAGGCGCGCGGGGCTCCCCGCCGCCCCGGCCCGGGCTGGAGCCGCCCGCTTTTAGCTGCGGCCGCTAGAGACTGAGTGGGAGGAGGGCGCAGGCCCAGCCGGCTCCTTTCTGGACCTGCCCGGCGGGGGAGGGTCAGGGGCGGGGAGGTGCCTCGGCCTGGACACCTGAAAACTAGTTCCCCGCACTTGAGTAGCGCATCGAGGAAAGACTCCGAAGGTTGCGGGCACCTGCGCTCCGGGGCTCACGCGTGTCCCCCAGGGCGCCTCAGTCTTCTTGCCCTGGAGGTGGCCCGAAGGCTCTGCTTTCCTTTCGGAGCAGAGGTTGCCCCCTTGATCTCCTTCCTCCTGTCACCGACCTGGGAAGTCCGGGTAGGGTGCAGTGAGTTCTGCGAGGCCGAAAGCTTGGGGTACACCCTCTCCTCCTGCACCGCCTTCCCCGAACTTGGGCTGCGACCCGCGGGCTTCGCTCTCTGAGCTCCAAAACGGACAGCCCCGAAGCTCCCACTTACTGCCCGGGAGGCGCGGGTGGGCTTAGGTCCCACGGGGTGCGGTCATGCTTTGCGGCAAGGGAACCCGGACGCCGGACAACTCCGCCGCCCAGAGCTGCCGGAGCCATTCGCGCCTGGCCCGCTCGCACGTCCCGCCCTGTCGTCCAGCCAGCGATCCGCACTTGCCGGGCTGGGCGGGGAGGACCCGGCCTGCAGGGCTGCGACATCTCTGCCGCGGTGCCCACCACACCCTCCTCACCCCTGGCGATCTCTGGCCTGGCTGGACTCGCTTAGGCATCGCAAGGGCCTGAAAGTCAAGCCAGAGCCGAGGGAAGTGTTGAATACAGAATACTTTGCCTATCTGGGGCCTGTGACACTTGCAGACGTTTTTGTTTTTTGATTCAAAGCCAAATTCACTGGTCAAATTCGAGCGCCTCCCAGTAGCAGAGTGCGAACAGAGCGCTGGCCCCACCCCAGAATCTGAGGAGGTAGGTCCTGATGGGCTCCAAAGCATTTCTACCAAAGAACCATAAATGTTGGATTTGGGATCACATTTTGAGACCTGGTCCTTAACTTAAGTGTACACAGTTCTTCTATACAAACCTGGAGATTCTAGAAACATTGATCTAATTGCACGTAGAAAAGCAAAGCTAGCTTCCCCAGGTTCTATATCCGAGTCTCAGTAACTGAGTTATAGGGTTTGACAGAGGTCAAAGGGGTAGGGGCTTCAGACACATTGGTGAGCAGGTGGGTAAATGATGGTGAGAGGAGGGCCAGGGTTCCTATTAATAGCGAGTACTTACTGAGGCGACTGGGTACCTCATCCATCCTGAGGATTCTTCCTGTATGATCGTATTTACAGAACAACCCTACAAAGCAGGACTTACGTTATCCCTGCTCTGTCCAGGGAACATAAAGGCCTAGAATGAGTTTTCTTTGGCCCGGTCCCACAGTTGAGGGTGATCCAAGCCATTGTCAGGAGGATCTCACCTTTGTCCATAGACCTGGGCTGGGATGCTGTCATGACAAAGGGACCAAAAGTCTTTGGTCTTCTTGCTGAGGTCTTGGTGGCTGCTCTGTGTGGAGCTCCATCGTTGCATCTCAACTTGGCATTCCTTTAAAATTTGGGAAAGAAACCACAGTTTTCACATTTAAGTAAACATTAACACATTATGAGGTTAAATATGAAAATTTAAAACTAATTGAAAAATAAAATCAGATGTCAAAGAAACTTTGAGGTTGGGGTAACCCTTGGGACTATAACTGTCCCTGAGGGTGCGTCCACCCTGGAGCTCAGACCCAAAGAGATGCCCTGAACATAGAATGTAAGGAGCACCCCTCAGAGGAGTGTGGGAGTGCCGGGTCCCGGCCCAGCCCAGCCCACGCGCCTGTCTTTGGTGCAAATGCTAGCTCCACCCTGATGGAGCTCTCAGTGTACCCAGCATACTCTGGCCCATGCTTAGATCTTGGGAGTTCACAGCACGGCTAAAGTGGGGAGCATCCCAGCGCCTCCAAACTCTCTGTGTTGCAGGCATCATGGAGAGGAAGGAACAATGAAAGGCTGATTAAACCCAGGGACAGCAGAGACAGAGCCAGCTAGAGTCTAGAGGTAGGCAGTGGCCAGCCACTCTGGGCAGGCAGAAGCCACTGAAGGGTGTGTCATCATGAGTGTGAGGAACCAAATTTAAGTTTGGAAAAAATGATTCTAGATGCAAGATGAAGAGCAGATTGCTGGGCACAGGACCAGTCGGGGAGAGTGGATAGGAAACCATAGCAGTCATTGTAGTGAAGGGCAATCTTACTGAAATACAGAAAGGGTGGTGGTGTGAGGCTAGACTCAAGAGCTAATAGCCAATATAGCACCCTACTGGCCCCACGTGGAGACTGTGGGGTTTCCTTGGCTTCTTCAGGTACACTGCCCTCCAAGGACCTCCATGTGTTCGTGAACCCAAAACTGGATCTCCCCTCTTCCTGAAGATTAGGAGGTGGGGCTGAAAGTTCTAATCAGTGCTTATTCTGGTAGCCAGCACAGCCTGAGGCTAAGGGTCCCAGTCAAAATCCCCTTATTATTGCAAATTTGGGTATGATCAAAATGAGTTCTTTACAGATTTTTTTAAAAGGTCTGATTATAATAAAATAACAATGTACAAGCATCCCACTCAAGATTCCAAGAGTTTTAGAAACTCTATATCAAAAGTAGGGCCGGAGATTGTATCAGTTTTCTGGTATTGTCATAAAATACCTGACACATTCAGCTTAAAGGGAGAAAGGTTTATTTGGCTCAGTTTCAGAGATTTCAGTCCCTGATTGCAGGCTCCACTTCTGGGGCCCTGAAGTGAGGCAGCAGGGCTTGGCGGAGGGAAGCTGCTTGCCTTAGGACAGCCAGGAAGCAGAAAGAGAGAAATGAAGAGAACCAGAGAGGAAAGGGTCAAGGCACACTCCCGGTGAGCTACTTCCCCTGATGGGACCCCGACTACTGATAGCCCATGTTATCGATGAACTCATTAATAGTGCTTAGTTAGTTCAATCCCCGGTTCTGCAAAAAAAAAAAAAAAAAAAAAAAAAAAGTGCTCATTCATGGGGTCAGCACCTTGGGGACCTAGTCACCTCTCTAGGCCAGCCTCTAACTACTGCTGTGCTGGGGATAAAGGCCCCCAGAATCTGAGTCTCTGGAGGACACTTTATATTTAAACCACAGCAAAGACCAAATGTGTGATACTGAATGGAGCTCATTTTGCTCGCTGAGCCCATCACTGGCAGGGCCACGCAGGACCAGGGATCGAACCGGGTCCTTGCACTTGCTAGGCAGGCACTTAGACCACTGAGCTATCTCCCCAGCCCTTAATTGGCATTTTAGAAGTTTAATTCTCAAGTTGGATTTTTACAGAATCCAAGGAAAGAAAAACTTTTTTTGCCTACACTATATTTTTTAAATCTTTAAAAATTTTGAAGTATTTTAAAAGGGCAGGAGCATTTTGGAAACTGTTCCTCTAACTCTTCTTTTACGCTTTGAAACAGATTAACTGAAGTTAGGATCACACTGATTTTTCAGGGGGTTATGCAACCCCCAAGAAAAATGCCTTGGAATGCATTGTGTTTGGTAGCTCCTTAAGCCCCATTTATCCAGACAACTGAAATTGGGCCAAGAATGAACTTACAGTGCATTTGGAAAAACACAACTGTTTGCCTGGATCATTTTCTCTCCCATATATGCAGCCTAACAGAACTGAAGAACTTTAAGAGCTCAGAACAGAATGCCAGGAGACATCCAAATGATTTCTTTAGCCAAGCCAACCCAGAAGAGCCAGGACAGACAAGTGCCCAGCACAGCGGATGTGGCCTTTCCTCCCACCTTCACATGGCCCTGCAGACTGACTGTTGTTTCTACACCCAGCAATCAGTCAGGGAGGCTGTCAGGGCTTTGCCTCTGACACCTCATGTGGCTATAGCCAGTGCTTTTCAGATGAGGATGGATCTAGAGTATGTGAGGCTGGGACTCACTCATGGCTTAATGCAAGGGTCAGGGGTGCTACGACTGAGACTGTGGGCACTCCCAGCCCTGAGCAGCCTGGATGAGATCAAGGGATAGAAAGAGTGGTGATGGCCCCTGCTTGCTTGCTTCGCTGCTCTTCTGCCCACCATCAACTATCAGCCTTGGGGGCTGGGGAGATGGCTCAGTAGAATAAGCGCTTCCCTGGCAAGCACAAGGACCTGAGTTCAATCCCTGGTTCTGGAAAAAAAAAAAAAAAAAAGCAAAAACTATCAGCCTTGGAGCCAGCTGAGGATGCACTGAAACTGCTGCAAACTGTAAGCTAAATGAATCTTTTCTCCTTCACTTGTGGGCATTAGGTATTTTGCCTTAGCAATGAGAATATTATCTAAGTCAGAGGCTTACAGAGGGGAAATACGTTGCTCACTGCTGCGATCGAATGTGTATCCCCCAAAAGTCTTGAGTTGGAAACTTAGTCTCTGACGTCACAGGTCAGTGGTAGCTGGAGGTGGAGCCTTGGAGAGGCAGTTGGATGAGGTCACAAAAGAAACCCCTAGGAGGGCACAAGAGGCTTTGTAAGAGGCCTTGGCACCTTCGTGCAACCAGGGGGATGAGGAGTTGATAAGAAAGACTTGGGTGGGCCAGGGAGGTGGCCCAGTAGAATAAGTGCTTGCCTGGCAAGTGCAAGGGCTTGAGTTCAACCCCTGGTTCTGCCCAAAAGAAAAAGAAAGACTTAGGCTTAAAAATATTTTTCATTCTTTATCTTTGGTGTCTTTTTTTTCAGCATACTTTAGTCATGGTTCTGCTCAATGCTTTGCTGTACCAGCTTTGCAGTCTTTGCTCAGAGAAACACAGGGGTTTCCCAGAGCTGCCTGGCCTGAGGAGCAAGCTAGGAACTCTTGGTGAAGCGCACAGTAACCCAAGTTTGGAAGGGACGCCTAAAATCTGATTGACTTCCTATCTATTAATATTTCAAATTTCAAAGTTTTGTTTTCATATGGATTTTTTCCCTTTTAGGTAATTCCACTTATATTTTAATAACTTTTCTGATTTGACTTTGGATGTTTTGTAAATATGGTAACAGAAATATACAGAAACATGAATTCTTGATAGAGTATGACATGATTTCAATACATGAATAGTAGCAAGTGGCAGGAGTCCAGGTCTCATAGCAACTGATGGTGCGTGCATGGTCAAGGAGCAGTTGCTGTCCCCAGCCTCTTCCAGCTTCCAGGAGGAAGGCCCCATTTTCCTCTCCAGTCTCCTTGTCCACAAACTGGCCTCCTTCTCTATGTGAGACAATAAGAAACAAAAGGTAGGAAATGACCAGGTCTGTTGTCTCTCTTTGAAGGGAGAAAGCCAGGGATCCCTCCTGACTCACATTCTCACTAAATGATACTTTATTTCCTTTACTCCAAAGGCTTAAAGTGAAGTAGGTTTGGCCTAAAACTGCCTCCATACTTATTTTTAGTTTGTCTCTACACAGTGAGCTGCAACCTAACTTGGCAGTAGCTGAATCTCAGCCAATCACAAGCAGCCAACTATTCAAACTATATTCAAAATAGACCGAAGTGTCTTTATCTTGCTCCTGGAGCCCACCTAGTGTGCCCTCCAATCCTTTGGTACCACCCTGTTGGAGGGCTGCTATCCAAACCCTGCCGCGCCGCCAACCCTACACACCTCCTACGTGTGGGTCCAGCTCCTACTTCTGCGTGTTCCCAACCACATTTCCATC